TACTCGCGCGCATAAGCCCCATAAGACATGTGCTCATAAAGTCTAGATTATTTTCACAAACGCCAAGACTACGTCGGCATTAAGAAACGCGGGTACAAAGCAACCGAAAGAAAATTGTGCGCCGTTACAATTCACACGATGTAGCCCGGAGGTACCGTTAAAGCTGATATTACGGAAACGTTGTTTTAACGTCAGCTACGAGTGCGCCGAGTTGAATCCCAAGGCGCAGTCTCGCCTGCTGCTACTTTGAGTTCTGCCTTTGCTTTTCGTATCATGTAAGCTATTCAAAACAATGTTACAGTAGAGTTACATTATTTTCCTGGAACTTCGCGAGAGGCTAACGCTAAGGAAAGGCGACACGTAAAGTGATGAGAAATCTTCGTTTACGAGAAGCGCAAAGCCTAGGCAAACATTATTTTTGTGAGTGTTGCAAGTGTAATCCCGTAAATAAAGATTAAGATTCAACAAAAAGCGAGAATAGTTACCGGGATAATTTCTAATTAAGTGTTCGCACTTACACTGTGCACGCCAGTGTAACATTTCGCAAATTTCGCTAGAAAACAAAGAATGCTGCTAAAAAAAAAATGTGGCGCATAATTAAGTTGCGAACTATTTCTGTGAATAATTTCCAGAAGAAACTTTGTTTCAAAAATATATGCGTTTACGTGTACAGTCTGCGTACCAATGTCCGCGTCGGAAATGAGGATTTACATTGTTCTCAGCCAGCTGGTGAATACAAATGGACAGAATTATTTAAAAAAATATAATTACACGCATATGGTCTGCAAGGCGCCGCAAGCTTCATTATTTTCATGTATTTTTATTGTTACTGAAAGTTTATGCTATTGAAAAATACGAACAAACAAGATCGGCATAAATTCCATTTTCCTGCCGTTGACATTTAACGCTGACAACGTACACAGTCGTATAAAATACATATTTATGAATAAAATATTTGTAATAAGAAAATATTGCTTTGCACATATAGCACGCAATGTTGTTAATAAATCAAATTTTCTTCCGACTGCGAAAAATAGTTGCTTTCATAAGGAAATATTGATATTTTCATTTCAATAAGGATATATTTAATGTTGGAAATTACAGGTGAAACCGTTTTGAAATAATTTTTGCTAAGAAAAAATTAATTCCGGATTTGTCAATGTATAAATATAATATGGAAAAAATTAAAATGTCAAAAACATTATATTTGCAAAATGGCACAGCTTAAAAATTCCCGACATGTTTTCTCGCGGCGAATGCATATTACACGTACGGTTTCCCAATCGTGTCTCATTGTCGCGAATGCGCTCGCTCGTGTGTAATTCCGGTCACGATCGGTGATCGAACAATGGATCCTTCAGAAATTGCGGGCAAATCGCCCTTATGGCCGCGACCAAGCCGGGCCTTCGGCCGCGCAGCAAACATTGTTCGAATGGGATGAACCGTTCGCGGTGAAAAGGCAGTGCACAATGCGATGAACAGGCGTAGGATATGAGCGCCGAGAGAACGACGAACAATGATCTTCCGGTATCCGTATGGACGCATATAAATCATCGATATGACGTTGGCCAATCGTCGCCAAGCCTATGCGGCCTCGACAACAGCCTTGAAATATCACCTGTGCCACCCGGCACATATCCCGACGATTAACCCTCGTCGTCGATAATAACTGCCTTTTGAAGGTTTATGAAGGCCCGTCGCAATCATCCGGCAAGATCTATCGCCAATTATGTTATCGGCGTCTTCGTCTCATACATCGATGCCGTCGCGTCGTCTTCAATAATCGAAGTCGGCGATTTGCGCAAATAGTCGACAGTTTTCGTCCAAAATTGAGACTCGCGATTTTTACGATAAAAGAATTCGGGTAATTAGCGCGCCACTCTTTTTCGCAATATATCACGCGCGTGCATTATGTGGGTGAAATTTTAACGCGGACGAGATGCGAATTTAATTAAACGATATTATATTTCCGCGATAATTAGCGCTAAAAGGAAAAAAAATAATTTTTAGACGAAACAAGTAAGAGTAAATAATGTAAAGTGTAATTAGTGCGCGTAAGTAATTCGATTATTATTAGTTCATTATTCGTTTGTTATCAATAATTAGTTTAATAAAAAATTTGCATAAGATCGTTCGCGGAACATGAAATTTGCGTAAAAAAGGAATCTAATAGAGTCAAAATATAATCCGCATAAATATAAGCACACATCACACTATATTTAGTCATTACGTAAAATACAAAGCGCTCTTCACAAAGCTTTGAGAGCCAGGCGACGCAATAAAACGTAATAACGAATAAATCAAAAGGATGCCGGCCAATAAACTCGATTGAACCAGCTTTGGCACATTTGTTAAAATCCCCATCCTGTCGCATTAGACACTCGAATGCGCGGCGTTGCGCAAAATGCAAAATACAAAACGTGTAATGCATCAATAAACCCGACACGGTATGGATGCAAGCGGCAAAATGCAGCTAATGCACAACTGGCATTTTCGAGAAAACAAGAATACAAAACAATCGGGAGTCGTAATGCAAATTTGGCAGCGCAGTGTGTTTCGACAAATTTTTTTGTTGCTATCAATCAACGGTGTATTTCAACTATTTTGCAGAATATGCGACAGACATTATTTTTATTTACGC